AAGAAGTAGAGAAGGCCGGGTGCGGTGGCTCAAGCCTGTAATCCCAGCACTTTGGGAGGCTGAGGTGGGTGGATCACGAGGTCAAAAGATCGAGACCATCCTGGTCAACATGGTGAAACCCCGTCTCTACTAAAAACACAAAAAATTAGCTGGGCATGGTGGCGCGTGCCTGTAATCCCAGCTACTCAGGAGGCTGAGGCAGGAGAATTGCCTGAACCCAGGAGGCGGAGGTTGCGGTGAGCCGAGATTGCGCCATTGCACTCCAGCTTGGGTAACAAGAACGAAACTCCGTCTCAAACAAAAAAAAAAAAAAAAAAAAGGAAGTTGAGAAGAGACTTTTCTTGGTGAAGTTGTTAGGAGAAACTAGGTATGGGACCCAGAGTGAGGTCAGAGGCAGCTCTCAATTCTGGAGTTGGGGCTGGGACACCAGACCAAATTGAGGACTTGCTAAAACGCTGATGTGGGTGGAGGCAGCTTTCCATAAGACACACCCACCCGTGTGACATGTCAGTTTACCATTGCCATGGCAACACCTGGAAATTACTGTCCCTTTCCATGTTAATGACCTAATGACTCAGAAGTTACCATCTCATTTCTAGAAATTTCTGCATAATCTGCTCCTTAATTTGCATATAATAACAAGTGGGTATAAATATGACTGTGGAACTGCCTCTGAGCTGCTACTCAGGGTAGCCGCGGTCTGCAAGGAGGTGCATCTGCTGCTGCTTTGCACTGCCACTTCAATAAAGTCACTGTCTAGGCGGGGCACGGTGGCTCACGCCTGTAATTCCAGCACGTTGGGAGGTCAAGGTGGGCAGATCACGAGGTCAAGAGATTGAGACCATCCTGGCCAACATGGTGAAACCCCGTCTCTACTAAAAATACAAAAATTAGCTGGGCACGGTGGCACGCACCTGTGGTCCCAGCTACTCAGGAGGCTGAGGCGGAAGAATCACTTGAACCCAGGAGGTGGAGGTTGCAGTGAGCCGAGATCATGCCACTGCACTCCAGCCTGGCAACACAGCAAGACTCCGTCTCAAAAAAAAAAAAAAAAAAAGTTGCTGTCTAACAGCACTGGCTCACCCTTGAATTCCTTCCTGGACAACACCAAGAACCCTCCCCGGCTAACCTCCAATTTGGGGGCTTGCCTACCCTACATCAAAAGGAGAAGAAACCTTTGGGAGCAGAGTGGAAAAGTCTGTCCAACTCAGGGAAGGGTACAGGGACTTCAGGTGGTATTTTCTCAACAACTCTATTGGTTGCAAAAGAAACAGTTTTATTTCTATCTTCTGTTCCTCAGATGGTATAAACTTGGGCAGGGAAGGGCAGGGTATTATGTTGTATGCCCTATAAAAACCTTGCTCTATGCTGGGTGCAGTGGCTCACAACTGTAATCCCAGCACTTTGAGAGGCCAAGGCGGGCTGATCATGAGGTCAGAAGTTCAAGACCAGCCTGGCCAACACAGTGAAATCTCCGTCTCTACCAAAAATACAAAAATTAGCCTGGCATGATGGCGTGTGCCTGTAGTTTCAGCTACTCGGGAAGCTGAAGCAAGAGAATCGCTTGAACCCAGGAGGCTGAGGTTGCAGTGAGCCAAGATCATGCTGCTGCACTCCAGCATGGGCAAGAGAGTGAGACTTCGTCTCAAAAAAAAAAAAAAAAAAAAACATCTTGCTCTAAATCTGTCACATACTTGGTGCTCAATAAAAACATGCTAAATGTTAATTAAAAGAATGTTGACATCAGGTGCGAGAGGTTTTCTTGCTCTAGGGAGATTTTTCAGGCAATCACTATGTCAACAGACATAGGTGTTTCCCTTTCTTCATATGTTGAAGATTGGGGATCCAAACTTACTTGGAAAGCTAGAGGCACCATTTGTCCCCATTGGAATGGCAGGTTTTGCAGCAATTGTTGCATATGGATTATATAGACTGAAGAGCACTAAAATGTCCCTTCGTCTGATCCACATGTGTGCGGCAGCCCAAGGCTTTGTTGCAGGAGCAGTGACCATTGGTATGGGCTATTCCATGTGTCGGGAATTCTGGGCAAAACCTAAGCCTTAGAAGAGGAGATACTGGCCGGGCGCGGTGGCTCAGGCCTGTAATCCAAGCACTTTGGGAGGCCGAGGCGGGTGGATCACGAGGTCGAGAGATCGAGACCATCCTGGTCAACGTGGTGAAACCCTGTCTCTACCAAAAATACAAAAAACTAGCTGGGCATGGTGGCGTGTGCCTGTAGTCCTAGCTACTCAGGAGGCTGAGGCAGGAGAATTGCCTGAACCCAGGAGGCGGAGGTTGCGGTGAGCCGAGATCGCGCCATTGCACTCCAGCCTGGGTAACAAGAGCGACACTCTGTCTCAAAAAAAAAAAAAAAAAAAAAAAAAAAGAAGAGGAGATACTGTCTTGGTCTTGTTGGTGGAGCTCACTTTAGTTAAACATCTCATTATTGAAGTTACATATTCTTTTGGAAAAGAAACTATTTGAGTGGGTTTAGATGGCAACACAGCATTTTGAATATTGGCTTCCTTTCTTGCAGGCTTCATTTGCCCAGTGACTAAATTACTGGTGACTAGTTTACTAGCTAGGTCACTCAAGGAAATCAAGTTAGCATAAAAGAAACATGTCACCTAAATAAATGAACTTGATGGTGTTGAAATGTCCACCTTCTTAAACTGTTAAGATAGCCAGGCGCGGTGGCTCACGCCTGTAATCCCAGCACTTTGGGAGGCCGAGGTGGGTGGATCACGAGGTCAAGAGATCGAGACCATCCTGGTCAACATGGTGAAACCCCGTCTCTACTAAAAATACAAAGAATTAGCTGGGCATGGTGGCGCGTGCCTGTAATCCCAGCTACTCAGGAGGCTGAGGAAGGAGAATTGCCTGAACCCAGGAGGCGGAGGTTGCGGTGAGCCGAGATCGCGCCATTGCACTCCAGCCTGGGTAACAAGAGCGAAACTCTGTCTCAAAAAAAAAAAAAAAACAGTTAAGATGAACTTAGTTCTAAAGAAGATAACAGGCTAACCCTGAAGTACTCCCAGTTTGCTGCAGAATCTCACGTTTTGGATGTTAATATAAGAGTCCTGGCTGGGCACAGTGGCTCCTGCCTGTAAACCTAGCCAAGGCGTGTGGATCACAAGGTCAAGAGATTGAGATCATCCTGACCAACATGGTGAAACTCTGTCTCTACTAAAAATACGAAAATTAGCTGGACATGATAGTGCACACCTGTAGTCCCAGCTACTTAGGAGTCTGAGGCAGGAGAATTGCTTGAACCCGGGACGTGGAGGTTGCAGGAAGCCCAGATCGCGCCACTGCACTCCAGTCTGGCGACAGAGTAAGACTGTCCCACAAAAAAAAATTTTTACTTTTATCTTTTTTTTTAATACCTTGTTACTTATTCTTGTGAACACTGTCACATAAAAAAGTCCTATTTGCCCTAGTTAATTTAACTTTTTCTGCCTGTCTTGTGGATGGGCTGGCTCTTTTAGAACTCTGTCCAAAAAGTGCATGGAATATAACTTGTAAAGCTTCCCACAACGGAAAATGTGTGTGTGTGTGTGTGTGTGTGTGTGTGTGTGTGTGTGTGTGTTTAAACCAAATCTAGAAAGCTTACAATAGAGTTGCATAGCAGCAGTATCTATTAAAGAATCACAATTGTAAACATAAGAATAATTTATAGCCGGGCATGGTGGCTCACGCCTGTAATCCCAGCAATTTGGGAGGCTGAGGTGGGTGGATCACTTGAGGTCAGGAGTTCGAGACTAGCCTGATCAATATGGTGAAACCCCATCTTTATAAAAAAAAAAAAAAAGAATAATTTTGCTGCTGTAATATTTGAAAAATTTTAAATGTTTTCTTGAAATAGAAATATGTATTTAGCATTTATGCAAAGGTAAATAAACACTTTTTAAAGTGCACATTGCTTATATTTTCCATAAGAATTATAAACACTAAACTGAACAAATTACCTATAATGGAACTGATTAATGACTTACAGGCAAGCTGGTTTGGCCAAACAGTATACCCAAACTTTTATAAACTAGAGAATGTTATTACACTTGTGAAATCCTCTTGTCTAACCTGAATTTACATTCCATGGTGATAACATGGTATATGTACTGTTATTAAAGTAAGTGACCATGTCAAAAAAAAAAAAAAGAATGTCGACATCAATTCTGACAGGACAGGAATTTGGACAATGTAGCCTTTACTCATTCATTCTTCCACGAATTCATTCATTCAGCAGATAGTCAAATACCCTGCAATTAGCTTATGCGTCTCTCCACTATGACACCAAAACCTCCACGAGGTCAGGGGTTGCATTTTGTTCCCCATAATGTCCTCAGAACCTGGCCTAGGGCCTGAACACAGTAGGCCCTCAGTAAATGTTAATTGAAGGAATGAGATCAGAGGCCAAGGGAATTTCAAAGTCAGTCGAGACAAACCAACAGACAAACTGACCTCACGTGTGGTCAGCCCCACACTCAAAGCACATGTCTGGGTCGGGGGGTCATTCAGGGAAAGTTGGAGGGTCTGGTCTTCCAGGCTGGGAGTACCTGGAGTGTTCCCCCAAGGAAGACAGGGAATAGTTCTTCATTTTCTCTTTCCTGGAGGAAGAATGTGAGAATCCAGATGTTGTTGCCAAAAATGTTGAAAGAAAAACTTTAAGCTGAATGCAGCAGCTCCTAGCTGTAATCTCAACACTTTGGAAGGCCAAAGCAGGTGGATTTCAGGAGCCAAGGAGTTTGAGACCTGCCTGGGCAACATGGCAAAACCCCATATCTACAAAAAATATAAAAATTAGCTAGGCATGATGTCATATACCTGTAGTCCCAGGTACTCTGCAGGGCTGGAGTGGAAAGATCACTTGAGCCCAGGAGTTTCAGGCTGCAGTGAGCTATGATCATGCTACTACACTCCAGCAGCCTGGGTGATAGAGGGAGACACTGTATCAAAAAAAGAAAGGAAGAAGAAAAAGAAAAAGAAAAACTTTAGACAAATTAAATTTAGCACAGTTTATTTGAGCAAAGAACTGTTCATGAACCAGGCAGCACTCAGAACCAGAAAACATTTAGAGAGCGCTACTCATCTGTGTGAGCAGTGAGATTTTACAGGATAAATCCAGAAGCAAAATAGAGAAATCACGTGATTAGATACATCTGGGCATCTGCCTAATTTGGACATGGTATAACAGGTTGGCTGCCTATGATTAGCTGAAACCTGACTGCTTGTAATTGGCTGAAATGTTCATGCTTGTTAATACCCCTAGATTACGTTTCAGTTTGTTTACATACTAAGCTAGGTCGCAATGCGTTAGGCAGGAACACATGGCATGGAAGCAGCCTCAGGCTAAGGGCCTCCTGCTTATTTAATTTACCAAGGGATAACCCCTCTCAGGTATCCTGGGATTGCCTCCATGGCATCCCCCTTCACTGTTCAGCAGCATGCTCTCCCCAGGCACATGTGTGCCCTGTGTGCAATTCTGCCACCATATCCATCACACTTGATTATAGTCTCAAGCTGTCTCCCCTTCTAGACTGTGAACGTCTGGAAATGAAGGGTCGTGTGGTCTCGTCTGTCTCTGTCTCTTCTCCGTCTTCAGCATGGGCTCAGTCTTGAAACAAACAGAATGTAATAAATATGTGTTAAATGAATGGTGAAAGAGATTCCTGGGTGTGTGTGCCCCTGTGTGGGTCAAGATGGCCAGGGGAGACCTATGTTAATTCTAGCTAAATCATTATAAGCTTGCTTGGCTCACAGTACACTGAAGTTTATACACCACACTAAACCATATTATCGGTGCAGTTAGTTAGAAATCAAGCGGCAAGAGGCCTCAGGTAAAGACCATCTGAGAGCGCAGAAACACCAGGGAACACCTCAGGGTGGTTGCAGAGCAGGGAAATGCTGCTCTGGTCCTCCGAATGCCTTCTCAACATAGAGACAGCATGAGGGCCTCGTATAGAGGGCTTATGCAAAGATCTCTGAGAAGGGAGGCGACCTCTGCTCACAAGATCTGGGAAGGTCTTTACAGATGGGAGCTGGCAAGGAGGAGAAAAGCCTTGCAGGGCAGAGATCACGGAACACCTCAGGCTCTGCTTAGGTTCTCAGAATATGGAGTGATTCTAATTGCTCTATGTCCTCAGTGCTGGGAGATAAAAGCCCCTTGATGCATTGAATATGGTCAGACTGGATGGCTCCTCATCCCCTACACTTCTGATGCAGCCGCACCCTGATAATAATCCTTGGTAAACTCAGAGTACTAGTTTAGCGTGTCTTAGAAGGATCTCAAGTGCTCTCCACCCGGCTATCCTACCTACACCTTTCTTTTTTTCTTTTTTTTTTAAAGATGGGGTTTCACCATGTTGGCCAGGCTGGTTTTGAACTCCTGACCTCAGGTGATCCACCCACCTGAGCCTCCCAAAGTGCTAGGATTACAGGCGTGAGCCACCATGCCCGGCCTTACCTACACCTTTACCCTCCCTTTCACACACATGAGATCAATGAGATTGTGCACATAATAAAAGTGTTTGGAGCCCGGAGCTCCGGGCCAACGCGGTTCCCACACTTGGAGTTGGTCCCCGGGACCCATGCTGTAAATTCTACTCTTGTGTCTCTGTCTTTATTTCCTTTTCTCAATCCTTCATCACCGCCAGGACTAAGGGCACCCACGAACGGGGCTGGGCTGGTTTGCAACACCCCTGCAGCTCATATCTCGCTGAATTAAGGAGTGGATATTTCCTTTTTTTTTTTTTTTTTTTTTTTTTACTTTTTGTGACCCCTCCCATCAGGAGTGGATATTTCCTATTCAAAGAGCACCAAAGAGTGTCTCCATTTCCACCCCTGCTTAAGCAGGTAACAAAGCCAGTGTGCCAGAGCCTGGATAGGTAATGGCAGAGGGACCTGGGTCATGGGGGTCTGGAGAGCCCTGGCCCCATCCAAATGGCTCTAACTCAGGAAGATGAGCCCTGGGGGGCCAGGTAGCCAGGTTTCCTGGAGAAGCCAGAAATCCTTACTTCTTATGTGTAAGGTAGAAAATCTTACACATGTAAGATTGGAAACTAATTCATAAAAATTGCAAATAGCGTGCAAGTCAAACACATCTCCTCAATGAGCCACATGTGCCCATAGGCAGGCAATTCCCAACCCATCTGAAGGCTGTTTGTCTTCCAGAATGCCAATGGGGGGTCTTCATGAAGCTTCAGAGTTATCTTGCCACATGGCTCTCAGTGACATGTTGCTGCCTTTTTATTTATTTATTTATTTTAGAGATAGGGTCTCAGTCTGTCACCCAGGCTGGAGTGCAGTGGCATGATCACAGCTCTTCCCAGCCTCAATCTCCTGGGCTCAAGTGATCCTCCCACCTCAGTCTCCCAAGTAGCTGGAACTGCAGTCAAGTGCTACCACGCCTGGCTTTTTTTTTTTTTTTTTTTTTTTTTTTTTTTAGAGATGGGGGTCTCGCTATGTTGCCCAGGCTGGTCTCAAACTCCTGGACTCAAACAGTCCTCTTGCCTTTGCCTTCCAAAATGCTAGGATTACAGGCATGAGCCACTGCACCCAGTTATATACATTTTTAAATGAACACTTACGTTTCATTAAAAACCCCTTGGGTTCGGGTTGAAATTTTACATTTATTTGGGAGATAATTGTCTTTCTTACATTACTGAGCTTTTTAACCCCCAGACATCATAAAGTCTTGTGTTGTTTGCATATGAGCAGGAGGGATGAGATAGTTAACTACTGACTTGTCTTTAAAATACTTATCAATCTAATACTTACCAATTTGATACTTAAAATACTTTGTGTGTGTGTGTGTGTGTGTGTGTGTGTGTGTGTGTGTGCGTGTGTGTGTGGGAGTGAGAGAGAGAGAGAGAGAGAGAGAGAGAGAGAGAGAGAGACGGTCTCACTCTCTGGCCAGGCTGGAGTGCAGTGGTGTGATCTTGGCTCACTGCAACCTCCACCTCCTGCGTTCAAGCGAGTCTCATGCCTCAGCCTCCCGAGTAGCTGGGATGACAGATGTGCATCACTATACCCAGCTAATTTTTGTATTTTTAGCAGAGATGGGGTTTCACCATGTTGGCCAGACTGGTCTCAAACTCCTGACCTCATGATTTGCCCACCTCACCCTCCCAAAGTGCTGGGATTACAGGCGTGAGCCACTATACCTAGCATCTATTTTCTTAATTTCTATTTTGTCTTTGTTGTTACCTTACCTTTTTAATTAATGTAATTAACATACCACAATTCACTATTTTAAAGTGTACAATTCAGCCAAGTGTGGTGGCTCACATCTGTAATCCCAGCATTTTGCGAGGCTGAGGTGGACAGATCACCTGAGGTCAGGAGTTCAAGACCAGCCTGGGCAACAGAGTGAGACCCTGTCTCTACTAAAAATAAAAATAAAAATTAGCAAGGGGTGGTGGCGTGTGCCTGTAGTCTCAGCCACTTGAGAGGCTGGGGTGGCAGGATTACTTGAGCCCAGGCTGCAGTGAGCCATGATCGCACCACTGCACTCCAGCTTTTGCAACAGAGCAAGACCTTGTCTCAAAATATTTGGTGGGTTTTAGCATACTTCAAAACTTGTGCAACCATAGCCACTATCTCTTCAAGAACATTTTTATCACCCAACAAATAAACCCCATATGAATTAGCAGTCAGGCCCCATTCTCCATGCCACCAACCCTTGGCAGTCACTAACTACTTCTGTCTGTGTGGACTTGTCTGTTCTGGACATGTAACATAAATGCAATGATAAGAATGCTTTTTTTACTGAGCATATTTTTTTTCAAGATTCATCAATGTTGCAGCATGAAGCAGTACTTCATTTCTGTTTATGGCTAAATAATACTCCACTGTGTGGATATATTACATTTTGTTTAGCTATTCATGGACCTTTGGGTTGTTTGTACTTTTTGGCTATTATGAAGAATGCTGATACAAACATTTTTGTACAAGTGTTTGTATGACCAGATGTTTTCAGTTCTCTTGGACATATACCTAGAAGTAGAATTCTGGGGCATATGGTAACTTTATGTTTAATTTATCGAGGAACTGTCAAACTGTTTTCCAAAGCATTTACACTATTTTACGTTCCCACAGGAAAGACGTAAGGGTGCCAATTTCTCCACATCTTGTCAACACTTGTTACTGTCGGTCTTTTTTAAAAATCACAATCATCTTAGTGGGCGCAAAATTATCTCTCTAGTTTTGATTTATATCTCCATAATGACCAGTATGTTTAATATATTTTTTTGTGCTTATTAACCATTTTCTTTTTTCTTTCTATTTTTTTAGAGATAGGGTCTCTCTCTGTCACTCTAGCTAGAGTGCAGTGGCATGATCTTAGGATCATAGCTCACCACAGCCTCAAATTCCTGGGCTTGAGCAATCCTCCCACCTCAGCCTCCTAAGTAGCTCGGAGTACAGCTACCTGCCACCACCCCTGGATAATTTATTTTTTGTAGAGAAGGGGGTCTCACTATGTTGCCCAGTCTGGGAGGATTGCTTGAGCTCAGGACTTGGAGACCAGCCTGGGCAATATGGCAAGACTCTGTCTCTACAATAAATACAATAAACAAACAAAAAAATAAATAAAAATTAAAAAGACCGACCTAACCATTCTCTCCCTAACAGACATGTGGTTCTGCTGTTTTGTTTTACTATTTCAAACAATGCTGTAGTAATCAACCTTGGATTTAACATTTTCGGGGTCACGGACAAGCTCTTAACCAGACAGACTCCTGAAAGGGGGCAATCAAGGTTAAAATGTATGTTTGCTTTCAACAACTTTTATGTCAACCTAACTGAAGTATAATTGCATGTTAATACAATAGTATTTGCCAGTTTTTTTTTTTTTTTTTTTTTTTTTTTTTTTTGAGACGGAGTTTCGCTCTTGTTACCCAGGCTGGAGTGCAATGACGCAATCTCGGCTCACCGCAACCTCCGCCTCCTGGGTTCAGGCAATTCTCCTGCCTCAGCCTCCTGAGTAGCTGGGATTACAGGCACGCGCCACCACGCCCAGCTAATTTTTTGTATTTTTAGTAGAGACGGGGTTTCACCATGTTGACCAGGATGGTCTCGATCTCTTGACCTCGTGATCCACCCGCCTCGGCCTCCCAAAGTGCTGGGATTACAGGCTTGAGCCACCGCGCCCGGCCCTATTTGCCAGTTTTAACATACGGTAAGATTAGCCACTTACACAATTTGGTGCGCTTTAACAAACGTATATAAAACAAGTAATTATGATCACTATCATGATATAGAATGCTTCCACTATCCAAAAAGTTTGCTTGTGCCATCGAGCAATCCATCCCCTCCCCCAGCCCGTCCCTGGTAACTACTTGATATGCTCTCTATCACTAGTTGTATGAACATACATTTGCATTTTTCTTGGGTAACTTAAGAATGGAATTGCTGGGGCCGGGCGCAGTGGCTCAAGCCTGTAATCCCAGCACTTTGGGAGGCCGAGGCGGTTGGATCACGAGGTCAAGAGATCGAGACCATCCTGGTCAACATGGTGAAACCCCGTCTGTACTAAAAATACTAAAAATTAGCTGGGCATGGCGGCGCGTGCCTGTAATCCCAGCTACTCAGGAGGCTGAGGCAGGAGAATTGCTT